GAGGACACAATTAACTTCTCCACCGAAATCGATTGTAATATCGAGATTAAACAATTGTTAACTTGTGACACCAAAAACATATGCTATTATGTACGCTGCCGACGATGTGGAGAGGAATACGTAGGTGAGACAGAAACATCCGCCAGAGAACTTTTTTTTCGTCACGTATCCCAGATTACTATAATCCGTACAACAAGTATAGGGAAACACTTTAGTCAAGTAGGTCACTCTATTAACGACTTATTTATTGTACCATTCGAGGGCAATTTCATGAATAATGAACATAGAAAAGCACGAGAATCATTTTGGATAGATAAGCTTAAACCTGCGCTCAATATCAAAGATTAAATAAATAAAGAGTATTTTAATATTAATATACTTGAATTTAATTAAAATATTTTTAAAGAAATCTTTTTAGAGGCGTTTTTAAAAAGTTGTTGTTTTTTAAAAAATCTAGTAAATATTAATAATAGTAAAAATCTTTTTTATCCCGTCTTAATTTCCTATAGGGCTCGCTGGCCATCTCCACTTTTTATATAATAATAAAGTAACTAATAATAATTTTATTAACAAATAATGTTGTTGTGAGGGGTGATTTCACCTCAATGAATGCATTACCGTACATAACCACAACATTCGTGCACACAGTTTTATATAGTCTTAGTTAGCACATTTTTACACAGACATACGAGGACGGTGTGACGGACGTGCATACACACAGACATTTGAACGCTCTGTGACGGAAAAGTGGACTTGAAACCGTTATGATGGTTTAGATATCTAGACGATGTCCTTTTTATATGATTAGGAGAAAAACAAAGGAATTTCTAAATAAATTGAAGAATATTCACCCTAGCTTAAAATACAAAATTGAAAATATTGATCATGATCAGATCAACCTTTTGGATGTAGTCATTTATAAGGACTACGTAAAAAATCAGCTAGGGACAAGAATTTTCATTAGACCAACGGACACGTTTCAGTATGTAAGAGAGAAATCAGCTCATCCGAAACATATTATTGAAAACATAGCTACTACATTGGCACATCGTGTCAAACGTATATGTTCGGATGATACAGAGAAATGGAAAGCATATGCCGAAATCTTTCTACGCCTACTGAAAGATTTGTCTATAAATGTCCCCCTAATCTGAAACAGATACTTGTATATCGAGAATATACGGGAAACCTCAAATATTTAGCCCCAACACTGATGAACCAGAATATCGGATTTTTTAAATGCCATCGAGTAGGATGTTCCTGTTGTAAATGCAGTAGAGAATGTTCGTCTTTTTTTGGTACTGTTTTTGGGACAGAGATAAAGATTCGACAATATATTACCTGTCGGACAACGAATATTTGGTACTATATTCGATGTAAACGATGTACTGTGGAATATGTGGGTGAATCGGGAAACTCTGGACACTATCGTTTAATAAGACACCTCTATCAAGTAAGAACGATAAGAAAAACGAGTATAGGTATACACTTCAGTAGTCACATTGGCGAGAGGTGTTACAGCCAATCCTGAATAAAGATAATATTACTAAACCGCGACAGTTCCGCATTACCATATGAATCCATCCTTCCATTAGAACAGATTTCAAGATCGGAGTCCATTAGATGTGTTCAACGTTACTTAAGAAAGATATTCTCTTAGTCGTAGGACCATTAGGCCATTTTTTTTAAAAAGAATTACTTTTCATAAGTGATTTGTGTTGCCTATGTGGGATATTTACCTATACATACAAACACATACATAGTCACACCTTGATACATATATTATACACACAGACATTTGAACGCTCTGTGGCGGCAAAATTTTCGATGATTTTCATCTTTAACTGCAGGAAGAGCAAATCGAGTCCAACATGCAGATGGTTTAACTGTATTTACTCTAGGATTATCCACCAGTGTATATTTTCCTGGTTGATTTTTCAAGAAAAATTTGATATTCGATGTATCGTACTTTATATCACCAATTGAGCATTCAGGTAGTGGACCACCAGCATCTGATAGTGAATGGCCAGTTGCTGTTGATAAAATAACATCAGGAGATTCGTCCGATGCTAAATTATTTATTTCGATCATTGGCATTGATAAACCAGAAGAAGCTTTCAAAAATATCGACTTTCAAAAATCAAAAGAATTTTAATATCTTTTCACTTGGTGAAAAGAGTTTGAAATGATGGAAAATATGGAAGATACAAAGAACGACTCTTTTTTCGATTGCTTGGAAGTAAGAGATCAATCAATGTTCGTGGAAATTGGATTTGTAGAAGAGGGACATCTATTGATGCTTTTCCTGCGCACAAATTCCTGCGATGCACAAATTCGGTCCCCCGCCCGTCCCGTGCAGGATTTTTTCTATATCGTTGAATTTATCTAGTCTGTGTGACTTGTTATCTTTCTTTTCTTATCACACAGTCACTGTGAATTTTATCTCCTTTCCTGGTAAACCATTAGAATTTTACATGAAATGTAAAGAATTGTGCACTCTATTTTTAATGTGGTCTAATCATTATACTTTTTTACATTGTGATACTACTGCTGTTACCGTTTTTATTCTAGAACCGAAGTTGGTTTTTACATTTGATAAGGACTTTTCGAAGTCGAAACCGGTTGTGTCTTTTAAATCGACCCACCTCTTCTCTTTGTTTGACAATTTGAATAATTATCATAACGGTTTGGCCACCGTGGTCACGTCTCTTCATTTTTTCTAAGTGACCGGCTCTTATGTTATTATTATAAATTAGCCCAATTTATTTATACATTGAATACTTCTATTCAAATTATTATTAATTTGTCAATTTTTGGTTGTTATAATGTTTATATTAGCATTAATCAGGAATTAGATCAAGAAGAAAAAATTTTGGATTAATCGTCTGAACAACGAATCGTGCGGTAAAAGAAAAACAATTTTCCTTTTCTTTTTATATTTTTACTGAGTGTTTCCTTCTGAGAGTTCTCTATCTCTTTATTTCTTAATAATAATTTAATATCTTCATATGGATACTGATTTAGTTCGAAAAACTTGTGCGCATTGGTTACGTTTGGCATATGCAAAGATTAAGAGAGATAAGACATATGTACATCAAAATTGAGGCAGTTTTTTGAGAGAATTGAATAAGATATCACCTGATACGTTTGATAAATTCTTGGCAAGTATTGGTATTAGAATTGAGAATGGTACAATTCATAAATTACTAATATTGTTGAATGAAGAAGCCATTACTCATTCACCGTCATGGTTAAATACGATGCAGTTGGGCTTTGTAACAGAATATTTTCATCGATCATTGCAATCACATATGAGTGCTAGTTATGCGGATGAATTAGTAAAATATGACAATTCAGAATCCTCTTTGGTTACAAACACACCTGATATGGATTCTTTTTCTCCGAATTCTTCACAACTGTGTTTTTTAGATGAGGATCAGGAGAATACACTGGCTCATGATCAACTTGTAACATTGACCTTGGTTAATAATAATAATGCGGAACTGGTTACAGTTCCTCCACAGTTGACGACCTCACTGGGGGATAGAATAGAGATAATTCCTTCATCTACATCAGTAAACACTAATAATATGACTTCAACTTCCTTTCCTATACGGACTGGTGGTATTACTGCTGAAACAGTCAGAAGTGACTCTGATAGTGTAACTACAACTACTACAGTTCATACATCTCCGATTAGTATATGTGCTCCTCTTCTCTCTTCACGTCGGTGGATTGATTCGGAGGCCCGAACGGCCTTAACCTTTAAGACATCAACCACGGAACAAGATGAAGTAGAGGAAAACAATATTATGAGTAACCAAGATAGAAAAGCACGAGAATCATTTTGGATAGATAAGCTTAAACCTGCGCTCAATATCAAAGATTAAATAAGTAAAGAGTATTTTTATATTAATATACTTGAATTTAATTAAAACATTTCTAAAGAAATCTTTTTAGCGGTGTTTTTTAAAAAAGTCTTTTAAAAATGTTTTTGTTTTTAAGAAAATCTAGTAAATATAAATAATAGTAGTAAAACTCTTTTTTATCCCGTCTTAATTTCCTATAGGGCTCGCTGGCCGTCTCTACTTTTTATATAATAATAATAATAATAATTTTTTTTTAACAAATAATGTTGTCGTGAGGGGTAATTTCACCTCAATGAATGCACTAGCTTACATAATCACAACGTTCGTGCACACTGTTTTATATAGTCTTAGTTAGCACATTTTTACACAGACATTTTCACTAGGATCAGATTAATTTCGGGATAAATTATAGATTTTATGCAATTGAACCTAGCATTCATATTGAGATCGTTGGTAGGGCTCGGACATGTTTAGTATCATTTCGTGTTTCTGCCTCTCCATCAGGACTGCTTTACTACCAGGAATCGGATCGGGTCATGGCTTTGTTCTACATTAGACTCTCTGATTCTCATGTGTAGATGTGGCTCGAATATGCGTACTAACTGTATTTGAGAAATGTGAATGTAAGAACCCTAGTCGACTTTCTTGCGAGGGCTTTCTTGCCCAAGATCTTGCGCAAGAAATGTCACAAGATCTTGCTTTCTTGGTGCAAGAAGTCTCTTTGATTTATGGTGACTATTCTTGCTCTTATTTCTTGGTTTCTTGCAGGGAATCAACTACCAGCAAGAATGGCCAAGAAACGCAATTCTTGCTTTCTTGCAGGGAATCACCCTAGTAGAATCCGCGCTTCATTGCACGTCGCGAAGCCATAGTAATCTTGTCACA